TGATGTTTATTTGACTGGTGATATCCCTGAAGATTGTTAAAGTCCGAATTCATAACACTACCAAAAAACAACGTCCGAAAACTGTAGCGATTATAGAATGATAAGCCTTATGAGCCACACTTTGAAAATATTATATAATATTAATTATATAATATTAAATACTATAAAATGTAGAATCGAGATAGCCCGCACGACATTTTTAAAAATGAGGTCATTCTTCTATAATGATAATTTGCAACTTCAACTTCGAAAGCGCATGGTAAATGCTACATTTGGTCAGTCCTCTTATACGGTGTCGAAGCATGAACAATAAAAATATCCACCATTAATCGCCTGGAGGCCTTTAAAATGTGGCTGCACAGACGTATACTAAAAATTCCATGGACGGCTATGCTGACAAATGTGGCAGTCCTTGAGAGAGCAAATGCTGCTCGCGAGCTGCTTGATAACATCAAATGTATAAAGATGGCCTATTTTGGACACGTAGTAAGAGGAGACCGATATAATATTCGTCAACTTATTATGATGGGTAAAATCGAAGGACGCAGAGGAATTGGTAGAAAGCAGGCCTCTTGGTTGAAGAATATCAGGGAGTGGACAGGAATAAAGAAAGCTGAGCAACTCTTTAGAATAGCTCAAGACAGAGACAGTTTCGCCATGTTAATCGCCAACGTCAAGGGGACTTGATAGGGCACGTTAAGAAGAAGAAGGTTTATAAAAAACTTAATAGCACTTTGACAAATAATAGTAAACCACTTCGTATTTACGCCTTGACTTTACCATTAAGTTCACAGCATACCTAGGTACCTGCTTGTTTTGCGAAGAATTAAATACAGACATGTTTATTTTGTGTATCATTAACAAAATACGTTTATTTCGAAAACGGTGTACTTTTTTTATTTGAAACAGGAATACCTTTTTTGTGTAGAATTAAATGTTATTTCATGTTTTTTCCTGGAATGTTTATTCATGGCAGGCAAAAAAATTATGGCCACATTAATGAACCAATGTTATTGTAGGTGGCGCCACCTAGTGTCAATGGTAAAACTAATATCATTTTCATATTAAGCATACTAAATAATAGCAAGATACCAAATTTCACTTAATACAACCAAATAGTTTTCAATATATCCCTAAAACTAATATAAAACAAAATCCAAGCAATTTGAGCTCAAACGCTTTATTTTGATGTCAGCTATCGCCTATTAGCTAATGTCCAATTATTTATGGGGCACCCTGTATATTATTTATTAGAGGATATTATCTGTGAGATTGTCATAAACGAAAGAAAACAAAGTTTGGCGCTTTTTACGATATTATGAAATTTTCATTTGTAGCAATTTCGCAGACGCTACAATTCACTTTATTTGAAGTGTGTAATTCACAGGAGGACATATTTTCTCAGATGTCCAAAAGGATTGATAAAAATGTGATTTATTTCCTCCAAATAATAATCCAAGAAGGCTGGTTCGTGTATGGACGACTAATGAAAACGGATCGCCACAGTAAATAATGAGTTATGTTGAAAGGTGACAGGATCATTCACCAACAAAGTGAGATGGAAGAAATACGGAAAAGCAATTCAGAAGAGTGTTTTTCAAGTTCAATGGAAGGGTTATTTTTTTTATACCGGTTTATATTTTACACACACTTGGATTTTGGTTGAAGCTTTCGAAGTGTCCGTATGTGCTTTTGAAACTTCAATAGGAAACGATGTGTTAAATAAAACTTTGAGGGCTTCATTCCGGCGATGTAAACATAAAAAGATATATACTTTTTTTATAAATAACGAGATATACCGAAAAACATTTTGCATATTTGTTCTAAATTTACAAATGATTTATTTAATTATTAATCCAATTTTCTACGATTTTCTCGTTGACTTACTAATGGCCAACGGTTATTATTGACTTTCTTATCCTGTGGTTTATAATTAACAACCAACAATGATAACTTACAATGAAGCAAAAAATAGAGATATACATTCATTTGTGGATCTGAGAAAGGCGTATGACTATGCACCAAGGTCAGAACTATGGGAGGCAATTAGAAATACAGGCGGAACCCATAAATGCTTTGTATGAAGAGCTTCTACAGGGTTGGTTCACATCTCCAACCCTATTCAAAATATACTTAGGGAAAGCCTTGACTACATGGAAAAGAACATACGAAGGCAAGGGAGTACTGGTACTCCCATACTACAATGAAGAAACTACAAAAAGGATGTACCAAAGCTGGTGTAGATATTAACTTCGCGAAAACAGAATACCTATCTACAAGTGAAAAAGACAGAAGATTGACGACAACAAGGGAAGGATAAAGTTAAATACTTAAGGTTTATAATCACGAAAAAGGCAGCAACAGATGAAGAAATTACGCAAAGATTAGGACAAAAAAAAAACAGTAATGCGACAACTTAACTCAGTATGGTGGGATACACACCCAAATATGAAGACAAAAACACATATTTTTGAAACATAAAGTATTATGATATATAGAGCTGAAAATTGGATTATAAACAAGAAAAACAGCAGTAAGATAGTAGCAACAGAGATGGAATGCCTGCGAAGATGCTGCAGATTAACAAAACTAAATAGAAGTAATGACGAAATAAAGCAAAGAACATCAATAGAAACAGACATACCAACATATATAGAACAAGAAAGTCTAAAGTGGTAGGGACATGTAAGAAGAACTAGCGACACCAGATGGACAAAGAGAATAACCGAATGGAGCCTCATAGAAAGGAGGAAAAGAGGACGAACTCGAAGATTCTGGAAGAAGGAAGTAGATGACGCCATAAGTAAGAGAGGCCTAAACGATGGAGAATAGGATAACATAGAGAGATGGAAACGGTTGAAAAAGGGAAGGGCTGATACATAATATAAATAAAATTTAGAATATTACACTATTCCTCATTTTTTAAGTCGTTAACCTGATGCATGTATCGCAATATCCCAATGAGTGATAAAATTCAGAATATATCACTTTTAGAACTTGCTTTCAGAATAATTATAACTAAGGTATGTACTATGTGATGTATAGTCTATCATTCTGCTCCACAACCACACTTAGCACTTTGATGCATTCGCCCTAAGTTAATATCGGCTCCAGACATTCCAGAAATCATCAGGATACGTCTATTTAAGATGGTCCTTATTTTGCTGGGTTATTCAAAGCAAAACAGATGTGTTTAGATGTTAAGTAGAGCGTATTTCTAGAAGTTTGACAAGAATTGCTTTAGTAACCATGTTTCAGAACTCCTACAATTTGTGTCTTGAAAAAGTTTAGCGGTTTTTTACTGCAGACTATCTTCTTCTTGACCAATTCCATAGACCAACATCTAGATGTTAAAATAGAAGTTAAAACCGCAAAAGACTAAAGAAAAAAATCTTGCCCAATTGAACTGACTGATGTGTCGGGTGTAATGTCTTTTGTTGATTGCATGCACAATTTTTCTTTATTGCTTCTTATCCTTTGCTCGGTTTCTTGATTGTTGTTTGTTAATTCCTTTGGTCTCTAGGAGTTAAATGATCTCATATCTTCATTTTTCATCTTAGTTGGGCCTCTTTAATTTTCCTATAATTGGTTGGATCTTAAGATGTTCTCCAACTCCCCTTATTTCTAATAATGTTTCTAATCTGGTTACCCATCATTCTTCTAAGAAATATCATTTCTTTGCTCTGTATTCTATGACTGATATATATGTATTGTCCAGATTTAGTCATACGGCTCATACTCCCTCTAAGGGGAAAATTCACTCATCCGAGATACCTACGGTATCAAAAGGAGTTCTGGTGGGACTTTTTCCGTGTTATCGAGCCGTATGTGACTTGGTATGCTGGAGTATCTCCCAAAAATTTTCGTACACATCTGGACGGCGCGAGGACTACAGCTTTCTGCATGGCCTTACAAGGATAGTCATTTAGACCCAGCTGTTTTGTGTTCGCTAGGAAGTTTTTCGAAATAACACCAGTAGTTGATAGAATCATAGGTAGTGTCTGGGTACTTTCCATGCTCCATTGTCTCCTGATTTGTATTTCTAGAACTCTATACTTCGCAGTCTTTTCGTTGTATTTAACACGCAAATTATTGCCGTTAGGTAATAAATAAGTGTATTTTGGAAGATTCTGCCAAGTTTTAATGGACTAACTTCTACCTTTAAACGAACTAATGTGGTTCTTTACTGCCTCTCTTTGTTCTTTGGAGAGTTTCCTAGGTCTTGAAGAATGCTTTCCTGTTTGATATCTTGGAAACATGATAAATTCTTTTAAAGATTTTTGAAGGACCTTCATCATTTTCTTTGTTATACTATGGATGGCCATAAAAGGTTTAAAGCAAACCTGAACTTCTTTATTGTATACTCATCATTTATAAACCTTAATCTGTAACTATACACGGCATCTTTAAATTTAGCGTTCTCTTCCATTTAACGTGAAGATAGGTTTTGAATTTGTTGTGTGGTAATTAGACCACATAAACATGAGTTTTGTTTATTAACAGAACACAATAATTTAAATTGCTTCAAAATACTGTTCCTACAGCCTTCAGAAACATTTTGAAAACATTGCAATCTTTTACAGTGACAGTCAGGCCCTGAAACATGGCTTTGTAATCTAAACTTTTTACTTACATCAGTCATGCAGCCAAATGATTTTTTGTCTTCCTTAAGTTTACATTTGCTGAACTACTTACATCCATATCACTTATTTCTTTAAGACTTGGCATAGTAAAATAATTTTGTATCATTACCATAGAGAAATTAACCTCAAATATTACACCTCAAAGCAACACACGAAAACAATGAGTAACGATAAAAAATAAAAGCATCTTAACTTGTTTCTGCGTGATTTACAACTGACATTTCCTCTTCTTATTCTTATTCTAAATTATTCTTATACTTTATAATATTCTCACAGTTACTGTGGTTTGTGTAGTAAAATTACTATAAATTTTCAATACTGCACTTTTGATATATAACGTTGTATAATTTTTTTCAGGTGTGCATGCTTTTGGACGTATTCTTCGGCACAAATATCCTAACAGCCTGGATATCCGTCTACCTGGCTCTTCCAATACTAGCTAGTAGCGCTTTTAATCCGTGGGTGTATGGATACCGTAACTCTGAACTGCGTTGTGCTGTTCGACGAGTTGTCGACGATCTTCTGTCTGCGTTAGGATTTACTCATCGCAGTCATCATCGCAATTCGGATCCCATAGTTCACAGCGCTGTAGCTACTGCTGGAGATGTAGGATCCTTTATTAATCATGTGCAAAGAGACTGTTTTGATTGGAAACCAGGTAAAAAATGTATGTTGTACAATAATTAGTTAGGTTACTTGATACAATAACCTGGATGATTTTGGTCATTGTGGTTTATCAATAAAGACTGGAAAATATGCATTAAAAAATGTCTAAAATATGCATTTTAAATATAAGGCTAAATATGTAGAAATAATATGCAAATAACAGTTTTTCAAGAAATATTTATTATCAATGTAACAAACTTATTTTTAGACGTGTAACAATAAAACATGGAAATTCGTCATTAAAAGAATGATTATGATCTAGATGGTGATGTGCGTATGTAGAATCTGTTTTTCTATTATTGAAAGCCCTTTTATGTTCTGCAATTCGTTTATTAAAATTTCTACCAGTTTGGCTGATGTAAGTTCCAGTCGCCATATTTAAGTTTGTATACACCATTGTGTAAGTGCTTCTTATTTTGGCTTTGTTTGCTGGCAAGTTTTTGGTGTTTTATTGTTACATATAATGAATTTCCATCACGTAACGGTCGAATCTATGATTATTTCTAAACATAAATATAAAGAATTTTCTTTTATTATTTTTTTAATTAAAGTTTTGCCAAAAAGACTGGAAATGCACTAATAAATATATTTACGTCTTATTTACTTCTCTTTACTTTTGTCCAATGTTACAGATTCGTATTTGATACAATTATTAATAGAAGTAAAGAGGCCAGCCATAACCTTATATATATCATGTATCGAAAAAATCAGAATAATGTAATTGACACTCAGACGAGTCTCCCAACCCCCACTCAGAAGCAAACACGCAGTTGGAGATTCACCAACCTACGTTGTAGGACAAAGTTAGTTGCAATGACGTCACATCATTGGCAATGTGATCATATACTGGGGTCTGGTTAGAACAGATTTAATTTCAAATGATGGATATCCATTCCAAAGTGTTTCGATAAACAGAGCAAGGCGGATATGTATACTCAGTTTAGAAATGCATAATAGAACATTTTTGTATGGAAGCAAATATACTGTTAAAATTATTAAATAAAATAAAAAAATTTATTAGAGTAAACCATACAGTTATTGGACACTTAAAAAAATGTCAACTTTAAAAATTCGTAATTTACTTTGTTCTTTGCAGATTGAATTGAATATTAAGTGAAAAGTTTGTCAATGTCTTCATTCTTACTGTCTTGGCTACTGTGATTAGCATCGGAATCACTATCTTGTAGATTGAAACAGTGACATATAAATAGATAACCATCTTTAGGTTTATGCTGTCTACGCTTAACAGAGATACGTGTTCTTGATATACGAATTCGTGATAATAAAGAGTACAGTCATCGCATTTTAATTTATTCGATTGAATATCATTTGAACAAATAAATTGTCCCAAACTGACGGAGCAAGTGTGCTACTGCGATATGTAAGAGAAAAAAGTTATAATTAATAATCGTGAAAAGCTACAGATTTGGAATCTTTCCTAAATAAAGATCATTGTCAAAGTACTTGGTACTTATTCTCGATTTGGCAGAAATAACTCAATTGAAGCATTGATACAGTTAAAACTAAATATGAATAAAAGGGGGCGCACTTCCCCCCACCTTACCCTGTATCTTTTTGTTTCAGGTGGTGACTTCTTGTTAGTACCAATGGCACACCCAGAAAGCTCAGGAGTTGTTTCGGACTGCGAATCCCGTATCTTCAGCGAGACGCCGAGAATAACGCTAAGCTCAGAACCACCTCGACTTCTTAAAGGGTCTCGAAGTATGGTGGAAAGTATGGCCGTAAACAGGGGGTCAGATATTGTGATAATCGCTGGAAGGGAAAAAGGAATGAGGCACGGGGCCAGTGTGTTGTGAAATTGTAGCATTCCAGGTTTGTGATCAGTGTTACCGAATTTTTAGATTAAGATTATACGAAAACTCTGGTGTGATATTTATTTCAATTCATGATTACTAATGTATATTTTTTTTAGACTATATTTTTTAAGAAAACTCTTTGTCATTAAGTCTATTTTTGTAAATGGTTATTTTGGTTATGAAGTATTTAATAATATTGCAATAAGTTGGCAAGAATTATATTTGTGTTCATTTAAGGTCGATTCAGACACATCAGTCCCGTCACAGTCTCGGCGCCGAACCGGTCCTGTTTGGTCACAGAACTATCAACTATCTGACAGCTGGGAAACTGCTCGTCAACTGATGAATATGAATGCCGGCGCCATATTTCTATTAAAGAATACTTTGTGTGACGGATTGTTCGGTTCGGCGCCAGGACTTTGACGAGACGTTACTGACGTGTCTAAATCGACCTTTAAAATTCCATTACTTTTCTTCCATTTTTAAATATGCCAGTGATACATAAATACCCTACTTCCAGCCTTAAAATTATTGTTATCTTTATTGGTAATCCAGAGATTATTAGTTTTTAAAAATAATACTTAACAACTGTGGGACATACCTACATTTTAAAATCGTTAACCTCGAAATTTCTCGTCGATTTTGTCTTTGATAAGAGAGGGAGCAAAAATTCCTGATAAGAATGCCGAATAATCGTAAAAAATCCTAATAACTATGGTAAACACAACATTAATACACCCAACTATTTTCCTCAAAGTCAATTGGATGAACCAACAAATCCAAATTATTCTGATTAGGCTGTTATTGGATTGAATTCCAGTTCAGGTTGTTATTGTGTTCAAATCAACTCCTGACGCTACGCCTCTGTAGAGCTAATATTATGATTTTCAAACCCCAACACATGGGGTTGGGGATTCATTTCGAGATTCCTGTAAAAATGGACCAGTAACCTGAGTAGTCTGACCGTTTTGTATAGATTTTAGTTTACAGATGTGAGTAGAACACAAAAAGACAGTATTCATCCTTGAGCAAGCAAAATCACGCTTGAAGTGATTATCTTTTGTCTACTCACCTTCTGCAGATTGGACGCAGGTTACTCCGGTCTTGGAGGGATTGGGACGAGGTCTATATATTCGAAAGTAATTTCTCATAACCTCTAGGTCTTCCGTAAGAATCTCTTCAACTTCTTCTAGTGAATTTGTTTGGGTTAATAAAGCCCAGTCATCAGCATAGCCAAACTTTGTTGATGTTGTTGTGGGCATGTCTGCGATGTAAATGTTAAAAAGCAGTGGTGCGACTACCGAGCCTTGTGGCAGGTCATTTTTGAGTCAAGTGAGAGATGGTATGTGATGTCACATTTGGCTGTAGCTGTAACTTTTTTTATGATATTAAGCTACATATTAATATAAGAATTTGCATTAATAATGCAAATTCTTATATTTCTTTTTGTTTACATTTACTATGCCAACGTGTTGCTAATATTATTGAATACATATTATATACATTCAAATATATGTCTTATTTTACAAATTTCTATTCTCTAGTATTTTATTTTTGTACTTAAATTTATCGTATTTCTTCCTATTTAAATTATAATGAAATATTTATTTAAAGAAGACTAGTAATATAAAAATATTTTTACATAGCTGTTTCTGAAATAATGCCATATTAAGTATTTTCAAATTATATTGTAAATTAAATTAAAATCAATGAATTTATGGATTATCATTAGAGATTTTTATAAACTCACTAAAGAACGTAACTATAGTGGCCAAATCAAATTTTGTAGCTTTTATTTTAAAAATGGACGCGATAAAATGAAAATACTTTTATATAAAATAAAAATTGATTTATAAAATTAAATTAAATCTAAAATGTTTTGGATATATCACTACTGAATGTTCTTAATTTTGGCAAGAGGATACTTTGTATGTTGGCCATTGATTATATTAAAAAAAATAAGGCTAAAAGAAACTACAATATTAACGCGGTTTTATTGCTTCGTTTACTCAATAGACACCCAAATATGAAAAAACCGGGCAGTGTTACCATTTAAAGAGGTGCGTTTTTGAGAAAGGGGTGGTCCTTATGTGTGAATTATACGCTGTTTTTATACAGAAAAGAACACTGATTAGACCCGTAGTAACCTATGAATGTGAAACTTGGGTAATGATAAAAAAGATGAAGCCTAACTCAGGACATTCGAGAGAAAAATACTGAGGAAAGTATATGGCCCGGTACAAGAGGAAGATGGCACATGGAGAATCAGGAGAAACGACGAGGTTAATGAGTTAAATGAAGGTTATAACATTGTGAAAGATTTACAACATTACAAGATTTGTGAAAAGTCAAAGACTGTCTGACTGGGACATGTGCAGAGACAAAACGATGCAAAAACAACAAAGAAAATGTTACAATGGAAGCCCATAGGAAGGCGAAAAAAAGGAGGGCCCAGAAGACGTGGAAAACAATGAACATAAGACAATGGAGAAGAAGGGCACAAGAGAGATCTGAATGGAAGGACATAGCCAGACAGGCAAAGACCCACCAGGGTTATGATGCCAAAAGAAGAAGAAGATAATAATTATCTGGCTAGACATTAAAACTTTAATGTTGACTGAATAAAAAATAGCAATAATTGAGAAAAAAAGGGTGGAAAAATGGAGTTTTCGTTTTAAGTTTTTTCTATACCTCAGACATAACTTACAGTTTACGTATTGACCCTTATACAACAACTTTATAATACGACTAAAACGTGTTTTACATTTCGTTACCGTGATCGAGACCTCAGAAGCCCCAAAGAAGACATGAAAGAGGATGTCGAAAAATAATATGTAATAGGATCAATTTTAAGCAAGTTTTTACAATTTTTAAATTATTAACAAAAAAACTTACAATGAAGTAAAAACTTTTGCAATAAAATGTTATATATTTATTATTAAATTTAAATTGTCCAAATGGATTAAAAATTAATTAAGATTAATTAAGAACCTCCGATTAATTAAGAACTTATATTGGAGGCAGAGTGCCAAGATTAGGATCGACGATCATACATCTAGAAATATTAGTATAAATAAAGGAGTAAGGCAAGGATGCATACTATCCCCTATGCTGTTCAATCTTTACTCGGAACTACTGTTCAAGCAAGCCTTGGAAAACCTTTCCACAGGAATAAAAATTAATGGAGAACCAATATCTAGCATA